ATAAACTGATTGATTTATCACCACTACTTGAGGCTAAAGTAGTTCCATCTGGTGAGAAGCATACTGATAGGACCCAACCGCTATGACCATCCAATTAGGCTTTTTATTATCCTGTCATAACATCCCATAAACGGATTGATTTATCACCACTACTTGAGGCTAAAGTAGTTCCGTCTGGTGAGAAGCATACCGCACAGCTATGACCATCCAATAAGGCTTTTTTTTTTCTTGTCTTAACATCCCATAAACTGATTGATTTATCACCACTACTTGAGGCTAAAGTAGTTCCATCTGGTGAGAAGCATACTGATAGGACCCAACCGCTATGACCATCCAATTAGGCTTTTTATTATCCTGTCATAACATCCCATAAACGGATTGATTTATCACCACTACCTGAGGCTAAAGTAGTTCCGTCTGGTGAGAAGCATACTGATTGAACCCCATCTCTATGACCATCTAATTTGCCTTTTTCTTATCCTGTTTTAACATCCCATAATCTTATTGAGTTATCACTACTACCAGATGCTAAAGTAGTTCCATCTGGTGAGAAACATATTGAACATATATTTCTAGTATGACCAACTAATTTATTAAATTCCAGGATTTTCATTTTGTTCCACTTACAATTAAATAGTAGTGCTCCATTCAGATTAACTCCACTAATGTCTACATTTTCTAATTCGGATCCACTAAAATTACATCCTACAAAATTTCCCCCTATCAAACTACTGTTCTTGATTTTAATGTTTTCAAAGCAATTGTTCGTCAAATCGACTTTCAGACCTACTAATAAATTAAGTCCATTTGACCCACTTTAAATAAATGTTTCATCAAAGGTTGTGAGTTAAACTAAAAATTTTAACAATTAAACTATTTCTTCATTTTTTGATATTTTTTCTACTAGATCTTATCTAATTTCTTTATAAAGGTCTTCGCAATAATTTTTATTATTAAATTCATGATCTTTAACTTATTTCAAAATATTTATCATTATCTTCATTTTAGTTTTCACTACATCTTCTTAATTGACATTTGTTTTAATTAATGCTTTTAAAATGGACTATTAACAACGTGAGAAATTTTCATCTTCTGAAAAATATTTCAAACAGTCCGAAACATTTTCTTTTCTCAACATTTCAATTATCACCTCGTATATTTAATAGTCCAACACTTTTGATGAAGCTAACACATTATACAAGTTTTTTTTTTATTCCATTCCTTTATTTAAAAAATAATATTGAATTTCTATTATTTTTAT